TCTCAGAGGAGTTGAGTCATTCAAGAAAAGCAAGAACTGATTCTATATACTTACTCATTTGGAAATAGTTTGTTAAATTCCCACATCTGAGGCATTGTGAGGCAGTGTGAAGTGAGTGAAGGCTCTGCCTTTTCCCTCAGGGACCATGAAATTGGTTGGGGTGCTGCTGATATATGCCCACACAAGTGCAGGGACTGTTTGCATGTGAGGTTCTCTTTCTTCCAAGAGCCAGAGAGACCAAACCTAAGTTGTCCCATCCAACTCCAACGAGGACCTTCAACAGCTTGGAAAGAGGGCAGAGCAAAGTCCAAAGTACTTCAGAGCTGAGAAAAGCAGAACCGACAAATGCCTTCAGGGTTAACATGAGCTCTTCTTTCTGTGGCTTCGGGGTTCACATGTCAGAAGGGTAAACCTTTGTGGTCAGATAGACTGGAATTTAACCCTGACTCCACAGCTCCTAGCCAGGTGTACTTTGGTGAGCTACCTGATCTTTCTTCCTGAGCCTTCTTTCTATGTCTGCACAAAGAGCCTCCCAACACCTGTGTCGTGAGGCAATGGTGAGACTTGGTGAAGAAACACAGAAAGCTGTCATGCCCTCTAACCTTGCACAGGTCCTAATACCTGCTGGATCTTTTCTATCCCAGGTCAGAAATAAGCTAACATTTATATTTCAATGGGCACAAAGAAAGTATTTGAACCTAGATAGGACTTTCTTCTTCTTTGGGGGGAACTTGTCTGCAAATGGACCCACAGGCTGTAACTAACACAGATCATGGAAGAGTTTACAGACATTCCTGACCTCATCACCTGAACAAAGACATCCATCCGCAGGCTAAGCATTATAGGAGGCAGAGGAGGTGGAAAGCAGGGATGGAAGGTCTCCAGAGGGAAGATTTGGACTTGACCCTGAGAGTAAACTTACTAGTGCCCTGACAAGGCTAGGTGCCCCTGTTTTCCAGATTCATACCCATTTTTTTTTCCTTTGCACGTGTGTTTGTTTTCCCCAACTCTGGCCAAGCCTGCAGTTGGAAATGCCAAGAGGAGCTGCTTTGGTTGAACCCAGACACAGGGCACATCATAAATCCCATACTATAGTCCCGCTTCCAGGACTTGTGCAGCCAAAGTTAGCAGAGTCCTGGAGCTTGATGTTTCCAGAAAGTGTCAGAGAAGGTATGGACTGAAGTGGGGGTAGGGGGAAGTCTGGTGACTGTACATATCAGACCCTGTTATAACCAGGACAATCTCTTTGCATCCCTTCCCCCAAGGAAGCCAGGGTGAACTTTCACAGAGACAGCTAGCTGAATTCTCACAAAGGCAGTGGGCTGATTTGCCGGTGATGCTTCCATCATTTCACTCTCATTTTGAGCTAGGACAGGTGTGATAGTAAGGTCCCCATTAGGAACCTAGTCCTCCAATTTCAAGAAAAAACCTGGCTGTTAACTCAAAGAGAATTGCAGGTGTTTTTGAAAAAAAAAAAAAAAAATCCAGTGATGAGCTGGGGCTTGCCAGCTGACTATAGATAATACCTGAAAATAAAGACCAATTAAAAGTTTACACTGGGCCTTTTATCATACCATATTATAGAGTTCCTTCCCAGAGCTTCTTTGCTGGGGCTAACAAACGCCCCCACCCCCTCCCCACAACAGGAAGTCACCTGTCTTGTCAGTGATGCCTCATCCCTTTGCCCTTAGATCTTGTCATCAGCATAGCCCTGTGAGTAGCCCATCTGGTGAGGAATTTTGTTTTATCTTAGTATTTTGAGAACCCCATTAGGTCCCAGCATCTGGGACTGCAGGATTTCCATCAAGGCTTCATATAATCTCTGGAGCTATAGATTCATCCTGAGGTTATTTGATACCTAAGCCTCCCTACTCTTCAAAATTTGCTGTTTTGTGGTCACTGTGCTCTGGGCTTCAGCCCACCTTGGATGTTCCCATCCCCAGATGCTGTGGGAAAAAAGCCTATGGATGACGGATGGAGTAGAGGCTTTCTTCCCCATCCAGATATTTTGGCGACTCCTGGCACGGCAATCACTCAAGAAGGACATACAGGGGAGGTAACACCAGGCAATATCCAGAAAAACCACTGCAAAGTAGACTTGGAAACAGAAAAACAAGGAAACAGACTCCCCCAGACCGGATAGCTGCATTTTGAAAGTCCCAAGAATTTCTAAATAACTTGGCATGAAGCTAAGGATCAAGTGACATTTATCTGTTTCTTATTTTTTGGCCCCCAAATTTACATTTCTGTGCAGTAAGATTGCTGAGCAAATTAATATTTGCATACAAAGTTGTAAGCAGTGCAGGAGTTAGACAGCTGTGAACGTTTGGAAATACTTGGAGCTCCCCCTCTGATTAGCTCCTGCATTTTTGTTTTTTATTCCCCAAGCGGACACTCACTCTGACCCAGATCACTTGGTGATTAGGGTCAATTCATGTTTAAGCTTTGAAGATTAGAGAGACCAGAAATGGCCACCACCTCCCTTTCTATTTTCTGTTTAAAACTTTCAACTTTAGAAACAAAAAACCTGAAAAAAAATGCATAATATTCCAAGTTCACTAAAGGAATTTATCCACATTTCTGCCATGTTAAATGTTAGCAAAGTTTATATTGGACTGTCATATTTCTTTACTTTATTCACCAGCATACAAGACGTCGATCTCAACATCTGGTTTTTAATAACCCTGGACATCTGGGAGCTCCTTTTTAATCCTGTGGTGGACGAGGCACAGTAGTGATATTGGCAGTGTATATTTTCAACCTACAACTCCTGTCTGTTTCAATCATAATTAATTACCACTTTTTAATATATTTAATTTGCTAAAAGTCATTTGCACTAGACCACATTTCACTGTTAAGAAAATCGTGGTAGATTTTGGTGGCAGTGGCTTTCTTTTTTTCTTTCTTCTTCAAAATTTAAAACCCTCTCTGAGTGGATTTGAAACAAACTAAATGTATACATGTTGTTGGGTTTTAAATGCAAAATGAAATAAAGTGCTCTGCAAGGAAAGTGATTTCACAGCCATTTAGAAGCGGTCAGTAGGGGCTGTGGGCTGCATTTTAGGGAAAACTTGTTTTGTTTTGTGACTTTGGCAAATCATAGCATCGCTCTGTGCCTGGAGTTTTCCTACAGCAGTGACTCTGGGGATCAAAAACCTTATAATGAAAGCTAGGGCTTCCATCCAGAGAAATACACTACACACATACCCACAACATTCTGCTTTGAATTTCAAGGGATGGCTAGACCCCTGGAAACCCATTTGTGGGTGCCCTAGAGTCCCATGCTGTAGACTTGCCTTCTTCATCAGCATAAAAAGGAACATTAACTTTGCTTTTTCTCCAGGAACTGAGAGGAAGTTTAATGAATGTAAAAATATATTATTTCTCAAGTTAGGTAGGGAAAAGAGAAGTTTATTGCCAGGAGCAATTGCTAGATTGTATAGTGGTTAATAAACACAGATAAATTATACAGGAGAAGACCCATTTAAAATGATCAATTGTACCTTATTTTTTTTGCTAGAATAGTCCTATCTAAACTGTCAATGCAAGTTCACACTGAGTTGTCCACTTTGTACTCAGGGCAAATCACTTGGTGGACTCAAATCAGTTGGGGATTGTTAACCCTTTGTGGGCCATAGATCCCCTTGGCAGTCTGGTAAGCTCTGGTTCTCTTCTCAGAATAATATTTTCAAGTGTGCAAAATAAAATACACAGAAATGAAAGGAAACAAATTATATGAAAACTCACTTCAAAGACCACAGATCTGAATGCTTGAATAGATGAAAATGACCTTAGCCTATTGGCGAGATTCGATTGAACTGTATGAAATTGCTGTTTTTCTAGATCAAAAATGGTGAAATATTAGCATTTTTATATGATTCAAACAAATATTACAACAACTTACACAATAAGAATGGTGAGAAATGATCCAAGTTATTTTGTTTCCTGTTCCTGGTTTTCAAAGCAAAGAAGCAAATCATGGCAAAACCTAGTTTCATTGGGGATTTATTAAAAGACACAGCTCCCAAATTATGTGTGAGATCAGGATATGAATGAACCACTCAGTCTTCTACACTTTGTTTCAATCCTTGTGGTAAAAAGTGAGAATTCTTGTTCAGAACAGGACCTCAGGATGGTAGATTTACTTCTGTCTTCAAAGATTCAATTTCTCTGCCTATTGGCCACTTCACTAAGTGAGGAAAGTGGCCAGAGCCATTCTGGAAACATTTTCAACAACAAGAATCCAGACCAAATAAGTTTCAGTTTATCCATAGTTGAGCACAATTCTAAGTTAAACAGAATTCTCTTTCTACAAGCATTGTACTGAATTGAAAGTTTACTCTCTTCTCTTTGAAATTTATTTGATTGCAAATGTATAATCATTCCATGGCGTGCACATCCTCTTTTATGCTGAGAGCAAAATAGAACCTGACAAATCGAGAAGATCACAGCATGTTTGAGCCTTTGTGAAATAACTGATGTGAATTATCGCATGCTGCAAAAGTTTGTTCCACCCAAGTAGATGGAGTTGTGTTTTTTTTTTTTTAATTCTTCTTCAGCCTTTATTGATACTCTAAGCTTAAGAGAAATTAAGGGTATTTGATTACTATAATTACTTCTCTGCTTACTTAAAAGGTTTAATCTACTCCTTAGGCATATGCAATTCAGATTGCATGCTTTCCAAAAATATAATCGTCTGCTAATGTAGACTAATTTTAATCTTCTAATCCAATCTTGACACAGAGTCAGAGCTGGGTGGGTGGAATGTTTTTGTGTGGGGGTTGCCATAGATACAAAACTCGGTTATGTATTTGACAAGCCAGTGATGTGGAACTTAAGTTACTATAGATTTTTTTTTCCCTCACTCTTTAAGATTAAAAAACAAAGTGAAGATCAGTGTGCCTTTCCAGTGCATCACGGTGTAACTAACCTTCTCTTCTTTCATTCCGGTGCTCCCCTCCTCTCCTCTCCGTGCACCTCCCTACCCGGGCCGGCCACAGGATGACGAGGAGGGCATATGGGCATAGCCGGGCCTGTAAACCAAAGTTCCAGTTTTGTTTTGAGGGGTGAGAAACCATCTTTTATATCATTTTTCTTTTACAAATTGCATTCTGGTGTTGTATTGTACGTGTGCTCAATTGTGTTCGCTGATGTTTGTGACCGTGCCCCATGTCTGCTTCTGTGTTCTGTGACCATCGCCCAAGAGCCCCCTCCTTCCTACTACCCCTTCCCACAACCACATTATTGCTCTGCCGTGTTGGGGCTGGGTTGAGCACGATTCAAATGTTTCTGTGTTATTTAAGATGTAAACTGTGCCCTTGCTAGGATTTATACTCACTTTTTAAAGGCATGATTGTGGACTCAGAAATTGTCACAATTCTCCAGTAGCGGTTTTCAGCCAACTACTTGCTTTTACCAGATATGCCAGTGTGGTGTGACTCTCATGTCCTTCTGGTTGTGTCAAATGTTTGGCAAGGAATAAGGAAAATAAAACTGTATCTTCGTGGAGCTGAGACTATCATCTCTGAGAAGCCCATTTAAAGGATTGTACTATCTCTTCTGTGGCAGTTTTGAAGAAAACACAAGGATCAAGGCATAGTAATGGTGAATGGGTAACTGTATCTCTTTAAATGAATTAGAATAGAAATATCAGTATTGGCAGGTTAGTGGCCTTCTATCTGTTTTTGTTTTTGTTTTTGTTTTTTTTTTACAGTGGTGCTTCTACGGAGCTTTGCATTTTAAATTTAATGCATTGCATTTTTTTTCAGAGGGTTTTGCTCTTTTGAAGTCTGATTTTTACCCATTAAGAACCCACCCTTTATTTCTGTGTTATCTGCATTATAATTGAATAGTGGCACATGTAATTACCACAAGGCTATAAATGGAATGTTGAACTCTAGAGACTTGCTGCTGAGCATCACACCTCTTCGGGATACTGCAGGTTGTTTAACAAGTCATAAACTCCCCGGAGTTGAATATACCTATGGTTCCATAGAATATGCTGTTGAACTTATGACACTGTAAATGCCATTTTGTTCAGAACAAAGAATGTGGTCAATTGTGTGCTGTGGTGATTTTTTCTGGTCAAAAAGTACTCAATGTGCGGTTCTTTTTCTGGATCAAATATGAAATGTCACAAGTCTGTGATTAGAGAGGCAGTTTGGGGGGATAACTTAGCAGGTGTGCCCTTCCCCAAGCCTTGCCTTCATATTGCATGATAGTGGTGCTTCAGGCAAATTTTAAAACAGTAACTGGTGTGGTTTTCCTGCAAGTGACAATTTCATTGGTGCATTTCACTGCTTAGTTAAACCTCTTGCAGGTCCCACCAATGCCTCAGATGGCTTTCTCTGGTCCTGTGGAGAATTAACACAGGGGTTGATTTTCAGATACCTGGATCCATTTGCTGCGAGTAGAACCTGTTTCCCAGTCACATCAGACTGTCTATCTCCTCTCTTCTCGCTTTCCTGGGCAAAGGGGAAAACAACACCAGAACCAACTCTTCCAAAAGGAGAGTGGTTCCAGAGGGAAGCTTGCAATGTGAAGAGGTGGGGAAACCAGAAAAATCCCTAAGGTCCAATCTGAGAGACTCTCTCCCTATCTAGAAAAAGCTTTAAGGGGAACATTACATTTATTCATGCAGAAAAGCTTAGTACACATGTCACTTGACCTACAACAACATTAAATAAGAAATAAAGGTTTTATAATGTTAAAAAGTAAGTATGTGAAACGTGCCCATAGCATGCAGAGATGGGTAGGCAAAGGAAGGCTCTAAGAGGCTGGGGGTGGCCTTGAGAAGAGCAGGTCCTACTTGAGGCTCTTCCATGAAGCTCTTTCTTCTGCCATCGTAAGTGTTAGGATGCTGGGCTGTATTCATGTCTCCTCCTGAATAATGAAGATTTTTATTGTTCTTTTGCAAGATTCACGATATCTACCCTGCCATCGCCTAAGATAGGACCTGTGTTGTCATCCTCAGTGTAGAATTGGTGCCAAGTCTCCTAGAGAAACTTGCTTTGTTCAAGGCACATGGAGACAGCGGTGTTAAGCCCCTACCCCCTTTATTCTTTCGTGAATTTCCCCAAGCACCGTGGACCCCAGAAAACAAATGTCTTCTGAAAATTATTTAATATATAGTCCTACTTTAATATGTTATAATAAATTTTATAGACTTCTGAGGAAAACTACCTATCTTCCTTTATGACTCCTTTAAACAAGTTTGCTCAGATAGCCTCAGGCTTTTAAAACCATAGCTTAAGGATTTAAATAATGAGATACTGGGGACCTTCCACTTTTGAACAGCCGTTGCATGTTTTGTGTCATATTACAATCTGTGGGCCTAAGGAGACGTTAAATTCATAACTAAAGATGGATAATAGTGACACATTAAAAATTAACTGTTTTGAATATTTTAATTTATGGCCCTTATAAAAGAAACATCACAAGAAGTTATTTTACTAGCCATCAGTAATATGCTCATAATAGCATCAGAAGTCTGTGACTTGAATCTGGTGTTTTGGTGCTGAAATGAATCACAGTTTAGGAAAAGTCGCTCCAAAAATTACAACAAATTGGAATTAACATAACAACCCTGACAACTCCTCCTTCTTTTGCCACTTCCAGACACTAGCCCAGGCATGATTTATTTGTCTCACTGTGATCATTCAAGGTTGGTGTTTTCTGAGAGCAAAATGAACTGGGGAAAGTTTCTTTTCTAAAGAGTTTCGACAGTCCCTGGAGCTAGGTTTTCTCCCCATAAACCTCACACCCCAGCCCAGCCTTATCAGCGTGTGACCTGTATAAGCCACAGAACCCCAACCTTAGAAGGGCTCCACTCCTGGTCTAATGCTTTGCTGTCACTGTCTTCAAGTTGTTAATAATTTTTGAACATGGGGCCCCACAATTTCATTTTGCAGTGGGTCGCACATTTTACATAGTTGGTGCTGCTTGAATTCAACATATATCCTATGTTCTGCTTCCAGCTTCTCTCTACTCTCCCTCCCTACTGGCTCATCCCAACTCCTACTTTCCTATGCGTAGAATTTACCTTTGGCTTGTCTTATTTTTCTGGTTTTCTTGCAGAGACTCTGTAGGGTCACATTCTCCAGCAAGTTGTTGCCCGCATGGGTATCCCTGCAATGTGTGTTCAGTCATTGTCCTCTTGCCCTCTACTTTTGATTGTGAAAATGTGCTCTTAGAACCCTTACTGCATTGGGGCACCTGGGTGGCTCAGTCGTTAAGTGTCTGCCTTCGGCTCAGGTCATGATCCCAGGGTCCTGGGATCGAGCCCCGCATCAGGCTCCCTG